TATACAATACCTTTACCAAATGAAACAGTTCTTATACAACAATAATGCATATACAACAACAGGGCGCTCATATTATAAGGTAAGGTTATAAAAACCATCTTTTAAGATCATTTTAGTGAAAGTTTCATCCTTCAAGGCGTACCATTCACTGCTGAAATACTAAACAACCTGCTTCCATGGCCGAGATACAGGGCGCCCATATTATAAGGTAAGGTTATAAAACCACCATTTAAGATCATTTTAGTGAAAGTTTCATGTTCCTATCTCATAGAATTTAAGAACAATGATGAATAAATAATTTTCGAGCAAAATTTAAATGGCCGGCTGAATATATTACCGCAGGAGCCGCGGCCGCGGAATTTAAATGACTACGTCAAAGGGAACGCCGGATTTTGAGATGTTTGTAAGCTTGAGCTGGCTGGAGTTCATTTAAATGCCCGCTGCTGGTACGCGTTTAAACGCCCGTTGTTACTCTGTTAAATGTCCGTTCCTGTTAGGGCGCTTGAACAATTTTAGGCATTGTGTTTGAAAATTCTGTATCTAACATAATTTTAATGATAAATGAATGAAATTAAATTTGTTCGTAATAGCAAGGAACATAGTGTCGCATATTATAACGTAAGATTTGAATATTTTTGTACAAAGAATTATACTCTTTTTTCCATTTTTTCTTCTAATTGTGATACGTACTTCAAAAAATATTTTCCCACTTCTTCGCAGAGTTGTTCTGCATTTCAAATTAATTTCTGTTGGTAACACTTGACAAATTTTAGCAGACCCTGGTGTCATAAAACAGACGGAAGGAATAAAATCTTTTGGTTCTCTGTTTGGAAACCTTACAGCTGTTTACACCTTTCAGATTTTCGAAACTTTGACTAAAGGATAGAAGATTGAAAGCATGGCTATTCAAGAAAAAGCTAGATGGGTCACTTCTTCAGTGCTAAGACCTTCTGTTATAGATGCAAGAGATTATTGCCCTTTCTAGAGTCGTTAACAGACAGCTGCATCGTGGCTGAGATACAGAGTGCGATATGTTTTTTGTGCGTTCATAGCGAAATCGAATACTGTAGTTTCATTTCAGCCTATATATTGCACCGCGCCCTTCGTCTTCCTCTCCACTGATTACTGTTATATTATTATTATTACGAAGAGGAAGGGCACAGCGCAATCGTTACTGGCCCTATTGTTGGTTCCCACCCTCCCCTAGATGGAGATGGGTTATCCAAGCTAGGAGGAGGAAGCTACACTCAGTTCGTTGGCTTAGATAAAAACAAATACAATTTTAATAAAAAATATATAACAATACATAAATAGCAAACGACACATTTGACCAAGAAAGTAATACAAGCTCATTTAGAACAAAACAATTTCCCGTCGGCACCACTTGTGTCGACACTAGAGATATCAGGACTTTAAACACTCCGGTCATACAAACGCAAGTCTAAATTCTGAAAAAAAAAATACCAAACCGAATCTAATAACGCGCGTCGCAAGCGTTCAAGCAACGGCTTGCGACCGCGGGCAGTCCTCACCGGCCAGCCAGATAGCACCAAAAGGGAATTTAGAACAGCCCCAGCCGAAACCAATATTTTCCACAACAAACCTGCTGGCTAGTAACCGACCTTCCAAGTCAACTTGGTCTACACGACTGCACTGTACAATTCTCCCCTTCACGAGAGGGTACATGGGACCACGTGACTGACGTCAGGATACTGCATAGTGGGGATGGAATCCGTCAAGAGAAACATGATGACATCATACGTGAGCGAGCTAAAGCTTAGAACGGCTCACTATACATCAAGCAGATAACAAAAACGTATGTACATCGAATTTTACTATATATTTTAACACGTTAATCTGCCGAACCTGCAAAGAAATTATTGGGTCGTGGATGAGTTTGGGCATAACTCATATGTTTATTCCTTTTTGCTGTTGCTCACTTAGGTATCATTTCAATTCCTCTAATACGGCTTTACTCAAGTATGTCTTGTAATTACTACGTACGAAAATGAATATTTAGGACTGTGCATGCGCTTCTACTAGCGGCGTGTGGACGCGCTTCCACTAGCGGAGTTTAAACGTCCGACTGGCCAAATCGGGGTGCTTTGGCCAGGACGACTTTACTCATCCCTGGCACAAACGGGGCATTTCGGACGTTAAAGTTTAAATCCGTGTTGCCCAAGTCCGGTACACAAACTTTATAAGCACAAAGTCGCTACAAGTGAAATACAACCGAAACTGATCAAGTAGCCAACAAGCGAGAACGCGATTGGCATAAATGAGAATTAATCAGCCAATTTGCGGGAATGAACAGGTGTGTGATTCCCCCTTTCCTCCATGTAACTCACATAGGCAAAGAAGCGATATAACAAGAAACTTACAGGAGTGTCGGTGGTAACAGCATAGCTCGTAGGTTCTTTTTATTGCTAGTGGGGTGGGACTAAGCCCCTTATACTGCGGCCACTTCTGGCCTATTGTACAAGCGTCAGTTGATAGGTAAGGGCGTTTGTGCAGCAATTGGTAGAATGAAGATTTGAAGGGGAAACCGAAGTAATTGAAGAAAACCTGCCCCAGCGTCACTTTCTCCACCACAAATCCCATTTGACCAGACCCGGGGTCGAACCTGGGCCGCCGCGATGGGAGGCCAGCGACTAACTGCTTGAGCTATGGTGCGGCCATAGCCCGTAGGAAGCGGCGGATAAAAGTGGAGGAGCCAGGCAAGACCAACGCAGCCGTGGATACTACCCAGCAGCAGTAGTAACCACTGCGGTGAAGGTATGAAGGTAGGTGACCTACGCAGAAACCGGCGGGCATTGATCGGCACACGAGAGTAAGAAGGGACGGTTAGAGTAGTTATTCAAGGATTTCCAAATATTTTATGGAACCCCGACGGTTCATTACCCTATTCACAAGAGCCCTCCACTGGTTCCTATTCTAAGATCAATCCAGTTCACACCACTCCATTCTATCACTCTGAGATCCTTTTTGATTTTATCCACCCATTTATGTCTTGGTCTTCCTAGTGGTCTCTTTCCTTCTGGTTTTCTTACAAATATTCTATATGCATTCCTCGTCATCCCAATTCGTGTTACATGCTCTGCCAACAGCACCCTCCTTGACTCGATTATTCTAATTATTCTTGGAGAACAGTAAAAGTTATGAAGCAGTTTCCTACAACCTACTGTCATTTCATCTCCCTTATGTCCAAATATTATCCTCAACAACCTGTTTTCAAACACCCTCAGTCTATGTTCCTCCCTCAATTTTGGATACCAATTTTTATATCCTTATAGAAACACAGGAACAGTTATAATTTCGTAAGATTTGAGGTTTTCATGGCGGTACTATGAAGAAACCAGTCTTCTGGGATGTTTTGCCGTGTGGATGTGGTGTTAACCGACGTTTCGGAGGAACGTATTGCCTCCATCTTCAGGGTAGAAAGAAAAGAAGAAGAAAATCAACAAGCGAAGAAACAATGAGAAAAGGTGTAAGCAAACTAATGTCGGAAATAAACTCAGCTATATGAGAGCAGGAAAGGAAGGGACAGGTCTACAAGGGAAATCAGTGGAGACGGAGAAGAGAAGGGTCTGGGAAGAAGTAGCAGGCTAGAGCAGGTATAGGATATTGTGTCAAGGGAGAAAGGCAAGTTTAATGGGAGGGCATTCATCCTTAAGCTGGGGTGTTGTTATGCGAGTGGGTCATGGTCTTGCTTGGCCTTTTGGATCTGGTGTCATGTTCCGGGGTTTCTTGATGGTAGAGATGAGAGTCTTCCATGACCTCCTGAGACAAAACCCCAGCACTCTGTTTGTATTGTCGGGATGGATTTCAATCTCAATAATTTCCCTAATGATGCGATCTATATATCGGGTCTTCTTGGCGAGGATGGAGTATTCTGAAGCTGAATGCGGGGTCCCAAATCGATGCTGTGTTCAGCCACAGCTGATTTGTCCGAATGATCGAGGCGGATGTGCTGCTGATACTCCTTCAACCTTATGTCCACAGAATGGCCCGTCTGCCCAATATAGACCTTGCTGCACTCGCAAGGGATAGTGTATACACCCGGTGTCCTTAGTCCCAGGCTATCTTTGACCGGCCGGAGGAAACTGGATAATTTGTTTGGAGGCAGACGCACTGATTTGACGTTGTGCCGTGTCAGCACTAAGCTGATGCCGTTGAATATGGTCCCGAAATAGGGCAGGAAGGCGACTGAGTCTGGTTTACCTTCAGGCCGGCTGATGTTCGGCCGACGATTGAGAACTCTGTGGATTTGCCGGTTGTTTTATCCGTTCTTCCTGAAAACTTCCTCCAGGATTAACAACTCCGCATGAAGGTTGTCTCGATCACAAAGAGTTGTAGCCCTGTGCACCAATGTGGAAAGTGCAGCTTGCTTTTTGGAAGGGTGGTGGTGGGACACAGAGTTATGGTAGAGGTTTGTAAGTTGGGATTTGCTGTACACTCTATGGGCCAGAGAACGGTTGATTCCCCTGTAAATATCTATATCCAGGAAGGGGAGGTGGCCCTCGTTTTCAGTCTCCATTGTGAACTGAATGCAATGGTGGATACTGTTTAGGTGGTTGAGGAAGTCCTTAAGCTTGTCTGGTCCATGTGGCCAGATGACGAAAGTGTCATCCACGTAGCGAAACCAGCAGCGGGACTTGTGTGGGGCCGAGACAAGTGCCCTATCTTCAAAGTCCTCCATATATATGTTAGAGATGACCGGAGAGAGTGGGAAGCCCATCGCCACACCATCGGTTTGATCATAGAGCTGGCAATTGAAGCTGAAGTATGAGATGGTCAGGACATGGCAGAAGAGTCTCGAGATATCTTCTTCGAAGTGTGGTCCTAGCAGATATATGGTATCCTTTATTGGCACCCTGGTGAAGAGTGATACCACATCGAAACTGACCATTATGTTGTGGTCAGTTTCGATGTACTGTCACTATCCACCAAGGTGCGAATAAAGGATGCTATGGATCGGTTAGGACGACATTTTGAAGAAGATATCTTGTTCAGAATTACTTGGTGTTTGGACTTGGTCCCTCATCCAGTATTCTGAATACAGTAGAGAACGCGTAATTTAGGGAAATGGGTCTGTCTCCGTCCTCAGGAGAGGAGGGTGTCCATTAGAAAGAGTTAATCACTGGACAAATTCACTTATAGGCTCCATAACAATAACACGCTGTCAGAACAGTCTGTCTTGCAGGTCAGAGCCACCATGGAACCAAGTATTTTCATGTGGGTAATAAATTCCAACATAAGTTTGACATAGCTATGGGGAGCTCTCTGTCTCCCATAATTAGCAACGTCTTCATGGAGCATTTTCAGATAATGGTCCTTTACTTGGCAGAATACAAACCATCACTGTGGTCGTGGTATGTTGACATATTTGAGGGCTGTCCTCATGGCCCAGAGCAGTTACAGAATTTCGTCAACAAATTCAATAGTTTAAGGACTTCCAATTTATTATGGAAACAGAGTCAGAGAGTGTGATTTCTTTCCTCGGCCTTCTAGTCTACACAAAGGGACAACACTAGACTCTAAAATTTACAGAAATCCTACCCACACTGGCCGATACCTAAACATCAAATCTAGCCAACTCCGATATGTGAAATGAGGTTTAATTCAGAGTCTTCACAATAGAGCTTCCGCCATTTGTCCAGAATGACAAGACATGGTTAATGAAGTTTGTAACCTGAGACAAGATCTTCACTTCAGTGTTTATGCCAAGGTCGCATTGGCTTGGTTATTAATTTCAAGGGTAGCAGACATCTGAATAAAGAATAAAAGTCACTGGGCTCTGTGTATATAACATATGTGAAGGATGTTTCAGAGAAGTTCAAGCGTATAAGGAATCATAGTCACTTTATGATTTTCAAACAAAACACATGCTTAGGAGTTCACTCATGAAAGCAGGCCAGAAAGAGGTCCACAACAGATGACACAGTGCATCTGTAGAATTCCTGGTGAATATGGAAGTAGTTGCAGTGGTGAAACAGGCAGACCTCTAGCCATTGAGCTCTGTATTTTGTTGGATTTGCTGTTCTCTGATAAATTGTGTGACACATATATTATTAGAATAATCTTGACAACTTTTTCGGTTTGAACTGACAATACGTGCCATTATTAGCATGCAGTAACAAAGATTTAAAAAATTCTCATTGTTTCATAGCCAAGGAATTGTGATCCAAGATAATATTTTAATAAATGCATTCTCAATGGAAAGGCTGTTTGCAATTGATACATGGCATCAATTTTGATGTAAAACAGTAAACCTTCATTGTAATGGATAAAATCTGACTGTATACAGTTGTGAAATTTTAAACATCTTGAGACATTAAGAAGGTTTAGTAGTTAAAATAAGAACCCATATATAACTATCTTTATGTAATCACAATCCATGTTTTTATGTTTATTGCGAGTATTGGCTATTTATCCTGCGCTGTACTTCCGTGAATACCCCTTCCCTTGTTTATAGCAGGCATCGAAGATAATGGACACCTTGTCCTCCACATTAGTCCCTTATAACAAGAATTTACTGCATATCTTATCAAAAATCATAAAATACCAGAATTCAACGACAGAAATGATCTGTTTCTTTTTCAGTAAGGCGGCAAAAGTGAAAGTATTCAATCTGAAATATGACATATTGTCACGATTTAAGGGTGTGACTATAGGTGGGATAAACTCTTCTCAACTGCCAACTCAACTACAGTGCCATCACTTCTGAGCCTTCCTTGCAGAGCTCATCTGAGCTACCAACTCTCAACTCTCAACTGAACTGGTTGCCTCAGTTCTCTTCTTTATAACCACAATGCATGGACCAAACTGGAACACTGTTACCAACAATAATTCTGTTGTTGTAGAGGTGTGTTTACTGAGCCATTTCTTAGAAATTGGTTGTACAGGGTGGAGCAGAGGAAATTCATGTTTTTCACAAAATAATAACATTGTTGACTTTCTAGCTGAAATATTTTTAATTACGCAAAAGATAGTATTTTAATGCATTTTTTAACTTACATTACGTACGGAAAATAATGTCAGTCAGACGACGTCATTCTAGCTGAACACACGTTTGGAGCCTCTCCTCAAAATCCTGCATCGCATTCTTCAACGTGTCTTTCGACAAAGCTGCGATTTCTTGTCGAATAAAAGTTTCAGCTCTTGGATAGTTCGTGTACACTCTTTCCTTCAGGTATCCCCACAAAAAGTAACAAACCGATAGATCAAGGGGACGCGGGGCCAAGAAATGTCACCGAAACGAGAGATCACATTTAGGGTAAACATGCGTCGAACATGTACCACCGAGGAATTTTTTTAATTGCAGAAAAATATATTGAAAATAGAAAAAAGCCTAGGCAATGTCCATCCGGCTTCTATCCATGCTCTCGCCGTGTGAGCTGTGGCACCACCCCGTTGCATCCACATCTGTCTCATGTTTATCCTACGCCTTAGGAGTTCTGGATTCAGGAATTTGTTTAACATGTCATCGCAGCGCGCCGAAGTCACTGTAACTGCAGTCTCTCCCTCTTCAAAAAAGTAAGGATCAACGATCCCTAAACTTAGAAATACCGCACCACACTTTCACTTTTGATTTGTGGAGGGATATTTGGTTCACCTGTCGTGGGTTCTCCGCTGACCAGAACTGCCAGATTTGTTTGTTCACAGATCCATTCAGATGGAAATGTGCTCGTCACTCATCATTACTACGTCGTTAGAATCTCCAGTAAAAACTCTCTGCGTTGTACAAAATCCCCTTCGGCCAGCTGCTGGACAATTATTTTGTATGGATGAAAGTGTAACTCTTCGTGTAAGATGCGAAGCGGTGGACGACGTTTCAACCACAGCCCCCACAGCTAATGCCTGACGCCTATCGGAACATCTGTGACTAATTTTCCGGGCCTTTCTTGTTGACCATCAGGTAATCAGGTAAATACCGAGTTCTTGTGTTTTATGTAAGAACTGTTTTGATTGAAATAAATTAAGTATTATAATTTTAAAATTATAGTTAATATGTTAATGGTAAGATATACATGTTTTTATTATAACATGCACTAAACCTTTAAACTCAGAGCAGCATCGGAAATTTAAACTCTCACGAGCAATGGGCATTTAAATAAACTTCGGCAAGCACAAACTCACCACGATTTCAGAAGTCCGGTGTTAAAAGGTTAGACAATTTCAAGCCGTCTGTTTAAAAATGCTGTATCAAACACACTTCTTATCATAAATAGATGGAATTAACATTGTTTGTTTCAGAATAAAACATAGTGTCGCATATTATAGCGGAAGATATGAAAATTTATATACAAGGTGTCATACGATATTTTCAATTTTTGTTTTATTTTGATGCGCACTGCAAAAATGGTTTCCTAGTTTTCCACAGAGTTGTTCTGCATTATAAATTCATTTCTGTTTGTAACATTTGAAAAATTTTAGCAGACCCTGTTGTCATAAAACAGATGGAAGCAATAAAACCATTTGGTCCTATGCTGGAAAATTTTACATCTTTACATCTCTTCGAATATTTTGTCTAAATGACAGAAGAATGAAAGCATGGCTATTCAAGAAAAAGCTAGAGGGGTCTTTTTTTCAGTGCTAAGACCTTCCGTTATAGCTGCAAGAGATTATTACATTTTCTAGGGTCGTGAACAGACAGAGTGTGATCTGTTTTCTGTGCGTTCAGAGTGAAATCGAATTCTGTTGTTTCATTTCAGCCTATATATACATCAAACAGATAACGAAAAAGGTATGTACATCGAATTTTACTTTATATTTTAACACATACATCTCCAGAATCTGCAATAAAAGTACTGGCTCGTGGATGAGTTTGGGCATAACTCATACGTATACTCTTTTTGCTGTTGCTCACTTAGGTATCATTTTAATTCCTCTATTACTGTTTTACTCAAATTTGTCTTCTAATTACTACATATAAAAATATATATTAAGGACTATGCATTAGCTTCCACTAGCGGAGTTTAAATGCACGACTGGCCAAAACGGGGTAATTTGGCCACGACGACCATACTCATTACTGGCATGATCGGGGCACTTCAAATTTTAATGATCTGTGATAAACGTATCCGTCGTATCGATAGCTAGTTAGCGGGATAGCGCAGTCGGTATGGCGGCTGGTTACGGATTTCTGCATCTTCTGCGTTGTTGTGTCTGAGTATGCTTTGGTAGAGAGCTGACAATCTCAGAACTTGGGATTATTCTCTCGAGTATTTTATTATGCTGTTTATTTATGGAAGGGATAGTGTCCATATGTATGATGCGGTATAGCGCAGTCGGTATAGAGCAGTGGGTATAGCGGCTGGCTACGAACTTCTGCAACTTCTCTGTTGTTGTGTCTGAGTACTCCTTCCAAAAATGAACAGCGAAACAAGGTACGCGAGAGCATAATCCCAAGTTCTGAGATTGTCATCTCTTTGCCAAAGCATACTCAGACACAACAACACACATTTTCCAGAAATTAGCAAGCCAGCAAGTGCAAGAAGAAGTTTGAGGAACCAGTGGATATCTTCTCTACTCAAGATACCTACTTAGAGCAAATCTACTTATTGCTTCAGATTATCGAGAGCAGACAGTAAGTGCACTATTAGTTAAACAGAAACACTCATTATGTATATGTATATATAAATAAAGCAGATATTTCGCATATCGGTGAGGATTTTGGAGCATCTACTGCCACGACATTAGACATGTAGGTGTAATTCGTAAACTGTATGAACTGTAGTCACTATATTTCTTTCCTCCACACTCGTATATTCTACCCCTTTTTTTTTTTACTTTCAATTCAAATTATGGTACAAATTTCGTAAGAAATATTTCTATACTTTTTGGTAATAATAGTTAAGAGGGCTTGCTTATATGAAAAGAAAGAGTATATACATCTTTTATTTATGC